GTTTGTTTTGCGGTAGCAAAATCCAGCGGGCGAGAGGCGACCTTGTATTCTGGACGGTACACCTTCGGCGCGTTAATGGGACAACATTCACAAGAAAATTTAATACTACTCTCTGTTTATATATAAAAACTAATTGAGTAATTTTAATAGATTAAAAAAATTAGTTAAATTAATTATTTATAATAAATATGTGTTATCTTTTCTAAAATATATTTACTAATCAAGTATATTGATTAGAACTATTACCATTACAATGGCTACCTTAAAAAATAAATAAATATGATAAATAAATTAGATTCAGATTTTATATTTAAGATTAAAATAAAAATTAAACAATCTCTGGGAGGCATAGTATTTTCCATGTTCCTCTTCATCAAGGTATCCCCTAAAACCATGAAGAGAGATGAGGGAAGAGACGAGACTCTATATTGTCTTTATGGAGACCAATTATATTATGAGTTGAACTTGAAATTAAAGCCTGTACATACGCAGCGACAATATGCATGGCACGTATACAACCTTATAAAATTCGAAGCAGGCGTTACTTTCAATTCTAAAGCTAAAGGCTTTTCGTTCTATCGAGTCTAAGGTAAGGAGCATTCCCGCTGATCACAAAGATTGTCTTTTTAAGTGCATTGAGGATAAACGGTAGACTCCTCTTAACTAAATTTCTGCACGCTCCAAGATTAGGGTTTGTGTCCCAATTATCTGTTAAGTACTACCTCCGGTCTTAATTATAAGAGCCAGTTAACTAATTTAAGGAGATTAAAGAAGTAAGTTGAGTTAGTTATTTGTCCTAAATAGGTATTGTCTTTCCTAAAATATCCTTGCTAATCAAGTTTATTGATTAGAATTATCATTATTTGAAGGGCTACTTTGGAAAAAAGTATAAATATGAGAGACAAAGTGAATTGGGGTCTTATATTAAGGACTAAAATAAAAGTCAAATGAGGTCTTATATTAAAGACCGGAGCAATAATAATAGGGTTCCTAGCTACTATTTACGCCAGCTTAATTCAATTAAAACTAAGGCCTTTTTTTGTTTTTAAACCATTCTCCTCAGCGTGGTAATGAAGTGAGCGGTGTCGGTGGGGCCTACCCTTCTTTCCCTAGAATATGAATACCCCCAAATTCAATCATCATATACTTTGCTCTCTTATATTACCGAACCTTTTTGTTTCATTTTTCTGTCTCCACTGGCTGTCACACACATTTGTGTGTGCCTGATGTAATTAGCATCCTAGGGTTTATTTTAACCCATTATTCTCACCCTTTTAATTTCATCTCATCATTTCACACATGTCATTATTCCATCTCATTTGTCTTCATACTTCCCTTCATATATCCTCGCTAATTTGTCGTGCTTCCCTCTGCCTCTATGGTTGTCGAGATTCTCCTTTTCGCCCCTCATATTAAAAAAAAAAAAATCTATCTTTTCATCATATACTATGCACAAAATCTCACGTACCATTTCAATATTAGTATTAATGTAAAATATACAATAAATCGTATTATTTACTTGCGTGTCATAAATGGTGGCACAAACGCAGGAGTCTGCCCTGCTGCAGTGGTGTGTGCCAGACATTATATTACTAGAGATACATAGGGTATGTTTGGATTGGCGTTGGGCAAAACTGACTTCTAACTCAACTGACTTTTGTAACTGAAGTTAGAATAAAAGTTAATTAGGGTATGTTTAGATAGGTGCTTTTAAAAAGTCAGTTAAAAAAATTAAAAGTTGTTTGGATGATTAATAGAAAAGTGAGTTTAGTTGTAAAATGACTGAAAAGGACATGGACTTTATTGAATAGTAATGTTTGATATTTTATGTTTTTAATATGATAATTGTTAAAAAAATATCTAAAATTATTATGATAAAATAAAAATAGTTTATTTGTGAAATTATAAAATATTGATTTATTTTGTTCTCAAGTAATCCCTGTAATGATTATACATATTAAGGAATTTTTATTAATGGGTAGTTTTAATACACATGATTAACAAAAATATTTTAGATAAGATAACATCAATTTATTATAAATAAGTAACTTAATTAATTTTATTAATATCTTCAAATTAGTTATCTGATTCTTATATTAAAAATATGTAGTATCAAATTATTGGGTTTGTTAGGGGTAATTTTGTCTTTTTCCATTACCATCTTTTCTCTCTCCACGTTTGTGACGGCAAAAGCCCCAAAAATTAGCTTCAGCGTTAGGCGGCTTTTTACCTAGAAGTTCATTTGCAAAAACGCTCACCCAAATATTTGGTTAGCATTTATCTGCTAGTAACGTTAGTTTGCGTCATTCCAATGCACGTTTTCCGCTGGAAACGTTGATCCAAACATGCTGATAGCTGGCAGGAAAAGCTGTGGTATTTCTTTTCTGGGCCTCGTAAGAAATTGCCGACGGCTTTTAAGATTGCTTATTATTATTACTTACTTTTCGTTTGAGTGTGGCAACGAAAAGTTGACATGAATCATTCTTGCACGAAAAAACAATTATAGCAATAGCAAGTCTCTTATTATCATGGCTAATCAAATAAATCAGGAGACATATGCCGACAATATGGTCTCAATTAGGCGATAATGACGTCTAATATTAACGTCAAAGTAACAACGACAAGCTACAAATGGAAAGATTCAATCCCATCAACCCTTACTCTGTAACGTTTAAATTCCACGAATCAACGTAATTATTGAACCAGGATTTTATCAAGTCATTATAATTGCACAGGATCTATCTTCATCCTGCACAATGGATATAATTCGTGCCCTAAAATGTTACATACAATTCACTGATGATAATTGCTTGTACTGGAGAATAATGTGTATGTCTTATCATTAACCATCGAGGAAACAAGATAAAATCCCATCACGTGACGCTTACAGTGACTAATAAAGACTTCCGAAAAGAAAGAAAAGAGAGTTGATAGTTTCCTTGCTATATATTGTCTTTGTTTTATGAAATCCAAAACATGCATGCATGCATATTCAAAGTACTTAACCAGTTAATTAATCATGCTCAATTTGTTAGAATCTCGCAAAAAAAAAAAATTGTTCAAATAGCCAGACATGCAAGATCTCAATTAAACAGAATAAAAGCCGGGTCGAGTCGCTTTCATATGAAGAGAACAAAAGTGGGCGATAATGAAACAATGAGGTGAAGTTTTTCTTGGTAGCTTTTTGTGCATTGACAAATGGTGTCCAAAAGCAAAGTCTGCGACAATATGAAGCAGTGAAATTAAAAGTAACATTAAATAGAGCAGAGTGAAGCCAATCTCACGAACCTAATTAATAGGGGTAATTCTACAGAAACTTATCTCACTCCACACAGAAAGCAAAGACAGCCGTATGGTATAGCAGAGCAACCAACTTTGAAGGTTGTTGTGAGCTTCATGATCTGTCGGCCAAGCTGGTCCCACTTCAATCCTCACCACGCCTTCACTTCTTTCTCAATCTCTCTCTCTCTCTCTCTCTAAATCTGTGACCGACAAAATAGTGCGTATATATTCAAAATCTTGGGATTCTGTAGCTATATGTATATAGGTCAATTAAAGAAGCTCAAGTAAGTTGAATTGAATATTATCTTATCTGCATTATTATTGATTTTGCATCCGTTTGTGAGTGCGGCTCTGGTGACAATGTGTTAGTCTTTAGGTTTATCATTTTTTATACATATTGCTCAGCGGTAGGAGTAGCAATATAGCTCAATAATACTATCTGTGTCTTGAGATTCTGTGGTTTGGTCCTGGGGAGCCATGCCTTAAGTTCATGTACTTTTACACCTAAAACTTTTAAACGCCATAAATGTCAGATTCGTGGGACAGTGGTCCACAATATCAAGTATTCTGAATGATATGTATTGGCCTTCTTCTCTCACTCTTAACAGTTAATTGCATCTCCGATTATTGCCCAAGCTCGCTGTACTGATAAAACATTTAGGTTGATATATTTCACGGAGCCTGACACTATTTGCATCTTTGGAGTTATATCCATTTCATTACATCTGATTGTCTACTTGTGAAAGCCACATATAGTAGGTTTAGTTGGAGCAGTAACCTGTATCATTAACCTCCTGTCTGCTGGTATTATTCATGAGTACACATTCAAGCCAAGAATGGATTATAACTTTTTTGCTATCTAGTGTGATTGGCTGCAATCTATTGGACTCTTTCCGCTGATGAATCAGCTTCTTAAGATTATATATGATTCGTACAAAGGGTTATTCTACGTGTCAATCAATGACCTCGCTTGTCTCCTGGTTATCTAATCAAGCTCTGAGGGTCTATTATAGATAGATCCTGACCCACTCTATTCATGAAGTTCACAGATTCAAACACACCATTCACGACTTGCTTTGTCTCATAAGAGTTGGCCGTCTGAGAATTTGAACCTCCCACATTTAAAAAGGGCAAAAAAAATTGTTTGTTCATTTTGGTATTCACATTCAGATTATGGCTCGCTAAATTCACTGGATGGTAACTGATACCAATAGAGGAAGAGGGTATGGTGAAAAGGATAGTGAAGTTGGGTTCATTATATTCGATGATGAAGAAAGAATCTTCTACTTACTAGCTAGTTGTACAAAACTGAAGTTTTAGTGGGAATTAGAAAGCCATGCCTGAACCCAAACGTATTTGTACAATACAGGGAGGCACATTTAAGATATGCCCATCTACCCCTTCTGCGTACTTTCACCTTTTTCGAAGTTTTCCAACTCAGCAAACAGGTTTTGTTACAAAAGTGTGGGAAAGAAAGTGGATGGAACGGGAAAATAAAAAAGCACTGGTAAATTAACCAATGTTATATCATTTAGCAATTAAAGCCTCTGCTTTTTGTCCATAATTAGTATTCACAATAAATTAGTGGTATGCTATTTGGATTCGCCGATGTCTAATCCCTTCTGAATTTCACCACTGAAATCATTGAGGGTGGACCCACTGCTATTGCTATTTATGTCAAAATGTACCGTCACAGTCTTCTTCATTAGGCATCTTCTTCGAGCAGTCTCTCCCTCGCTCTCGCTCTCACGCTCTGCATTATATAGACAAACCAAAATCATTCTGCTTTCTGCTATAAAACTTCGGATTACTCACCTTTTTCTTCTATCTCGATGGCTCTCTTTCTCCTTGCTATATTAATCGCGATGGTCCCTTCAGGCCATGCCTCTTGGCCACCTTCACCAGGCTACTGGCCAAGCTCTAGATTCAGGTCTATGAGCTTCTACAGAGGATTTAGAAACCTCTGGGGTCCTCAGCATCAAAGGCTAGACCAAAACACATTAACAATTTGGCTCGACAGAACCTCAGGTCTGATCATTTCTATTTCCCAATCTCTCATATCTATATTCCTGTAAGATAGAACACGGATATACTTCCACTGCTTTTTTCATTTATTTCTTCTGGGTAAGCAGGAAGTGGGTTCAAGTCAGTTCGTCCCTTTCGGTCCGGCTACTTCGGTGCTTCTATTAAGCTCCAACCGGGCTATACTGCAGGAGTTATCACAGCTTTCTACGTAAGATATGGCCAAATGATCTGATTATTGGTTGCTGAATAAATTAGTTGATTAATTATAGTAAGGTTTTATTTGATATGGCAGCTTTCGAACAACGAAGCACATCCAGGCTTCCACGACGAAGTAGACATAGAATTTCTGGGCACAACATTTGGAAAACCTTATACTCTGCAGACAAATGTTTACATAAGAGGGAGTGGTGACGGCAAAATCATAGGCAGGGAAATGAAGTTCCATCTCTGGTTTGATCCCACCAAAGATTTTCATCACTACGCTATACTCTGGAGTCCTAAGGAAATAATGTAAGTAACGCAAGTCCATTCACTACGTGATAGAAAAATGATTGTATAACAGGGATCAATGATAGTAATAGCAACAATAATAATGTCAGATTCCTAGTGGATGATGTGCCGATAAGGAGGTACCCGAAGAAGAGTGATGCGACATATCCGGTGAGGCCAATGTGGGTGTACGGTTCGATCTGGGATGCGTCATCATGGGCAACGGATAACGGCAAGTACAAAGCAGATTACAGATACCAACCATTTGTGGCCAAGTACAGCAACTTCAAAGCCAGCGGTTGCTCGGCCTATGGGCCGATTTGGTGCCGGCCGGTCTCAGTTTCGCCCTACAGGTCCGGCGGGTTGAGCAGCCAGCAATACAGGGCCATGAGATGGGTTCAGAGATACCATATGGTTTATAACTATTGCAATGATCCCAAAAGAGACCACAGGCTTACACCAGAATGTTGGGGTTGAGTAAAATTGGGGGGCGCTTCATTTAGCGCTTATTATTGTCATTATTTCTCTTCATGTGGCTTGTTTTTCTTCTCTCTCTCGATGTCTTTCAGAAAGTTTCTCTATTTTGCTTGACAGGGGTGACGACTCAGGATGGGTCCCCCACTCCACAAACAACGTTGATGTATTAAGGATGTCCAAGTGAGCCTCAAGGCCCTCCCCAAAAAACACAAGAAAATTTCGACCATTGTGTGGCTTCTTCGTCTTTGTTATTCTTCTATTGTTGTGTAAAGAAATAAGAAAGCCATGAAAGTGCGAAAGAGAATATATTTAAAGAATCAAATGTATAGATGCAATTAATAATATAATTATTGCTTGTGTGTATTATAAATACATCCAAGTTAACATTAGTAGTTGAGTAGCAGTATTTATGAATAGTGTAAAAATTTAGTATATATTGATATATTAATAATAGTGTAAATTATTCTCAGGCTCCTTAGAATGTCTAAAGTTCGCTATTGTTTATTGCTCTCATGGGGTTATTATACAACAGGACACATTAAATAAAGGTTATTTAATTTGTAATTTAAGACGTCATCACCAATGACCCAGCAATTAATTATTTAACTGGAATGGTATCTGTCACAATTATGATTTACTCCCTCCATTCCTTATTATAAAATCTTTTTAACTAAATTGTGTGGTTTACAAAAATAGTTAAAATTAGTTAAGAGCAATTAATATGTAATAAATATAATTTTTTTTAAATATACCTCTATATATAAATGAGCAAATGTGAGGGAGTAATAATAAGATAAATGAAGAAAGAGAATGTATTAAATATATTAAATTAGGAGTAAAATATACAATAATACATTAAATGCTCAGAGAAATTCAAAGAAAATCTTATAAAAAAGAGACAAACCTATTTAAAAAATTAGATCTTATAAAAAGAGATGGAAGGAGTAATACGAATGTCAAGCCAGAAAACAAAGAAGCCGAAATGATCACGTCGAAATCGTTCAAACTTTTCTTTGAGACCTTATTGGATTCGTTTTGGGCCGCGAACATTATTGGATTGGAAATGCTTGTCTTTCGTGCTATATTTTGAATTCTTTTTATTTAATCTAAGTAATTTATGTTTAAATATTTTATTATAAACAAGTAGACAACAGAACAATTATGATTGTTTCTAACTCACTAATATAATTTTTTTTAATACTTCACCTGAAAATATGATTTTTATATCATAAAAATTGAAATTTTAAAGTAAATCTGCGTCAAACTAAATATGTTAATTTATCCCAGGGCACATCAAAACGATCCATTTCTGTATCATTAATTGCCGTTTAATTGATGGGGAACTGATAAACTGAATTTAACGAATTATTCCTTACACTATCAAGTAAAGTCTGTGTGTGTGTTACTTGACAATCAGACATAAATTGCATACTAAAATGAATCGACCATGCATTGGTATATTGATGATTGCTAGCGTCCTAAAGTCCCATTCATGCCCTTATTATTTTTGTCCTCTGTTTTGCATTCTAAAGACAATCGGCAGACAAGTGTGAATTAAATGGGGAACAAGACTAGAAGATCCCAATCAGACTGTGACAGAAGGTACACCAGATTTAATATGACGCAGAGAAACGAGGTTCTTTCTCCATATAATACAGAAAGAATCCATTCATAGAGTGAAGGATCGTCTTTAATATGAACCATTAATACAGAGAAAAGGATCGAACTGTGCATATACAATACACGTTCTGGAAACAGAGTAGATATGATCAGGCAATGTGGAGAAGAAGACCCTGACTTTTTCTGTGCTTGGCATGTTTTGAGGATTTGATGGGAGGTGCTTTGCGTGGCAGAGGTTGTGAAAACGATGCCGGAGCCAGCGCAACACATAGAAGCCGCAGCCATTATTTGCTCCGAAATTGAAACAGAGACCCCTCACTTACCGGCCCCATTATATAGAAATCAGGACATAGCCTGGTTTTATTTCTGATGTAATAAACAAGAGTCATTAATGGGGTTGGTTAGTGTGTCAATGCCAGAGGGGCGAATTAGAGGCTATGTTAATGGCATCCAAATTAGCCAATTAATTGTCGGATCAGTTATATGGGCACGCTTCGTAATAGAGACGTGCCTGTGGATAAAGAATGGTCAAGTCGCTTACTCGTGAGAAGGAGAATAAACCAGAGAGCCTATTCATCCAAGCCGGGTCCTTGCACGTAGGGCTCACGTGAAGTGCAATCTAGCTGGCTTTGCCCAGAGAGATGGCCTCTTCCCCTGTTCCCTCACTATAGCCGTGCTCGTTTAGCCATTGTCGCCTTCTTCTGGGCCACTCTTGTTTTGGAATTTTCTTTAATGTGGCTCAAACACAATTGCAATTCTCTCCAAATAGCTGCTGATCTTCAAAATCTCTCTTTTCTTTTTCTTTTTCCCAGCGCACAGAACGGAAATAAGAGGATGGCAATTTGTTACTTATGACGAACTCAACTTCAAGCAGCGTATACAAGACTCATGCTTCCACCCATATCGTTTTCCGCATCATAGTCTTGTAAAATGTTTGGATGAAATCAAAATTATGGTTTTAAAAATATTTTTACAGCGTACGGAGTAAATATATGAATGGGTTTATCTTGATTTGCAGAAAAATACTTTTAAAAAACACTTTTTCTATTACCCAAACACTTCCTTAAATGATCAACTTTAATAATTATTTATTTAACTTGCCCCAATATACCAACGGGTTTTAATCTAATTGGGTTAACCCAAGTTTAAATACTTATTAAGAAGGATGTCAACATTTAACGTATGACAATGTTTTAAACAAGATTATTTTTAATATAAAGAATACGATGACACTCAGCTTAAGGAAAATGAATACACAAATGAGACACATTAAGAATTTATTTAATGGTGATTAACTAAATAACTAGTGTTCAACAAATCAGTACTTTTTGTCAATCACTACTTAGATAATTTTGATTCTCATTCAAATATTATGTTAGAAATATGATTTTTAGTCGAATTTTTTAAATTAACATCAAATCATTACCTTAAACGCCATTTGCATCAAAATGGGATTTGAAACATCTGCATGCATGCCTCATTTGGGGGCACTGTTTAATTAGTAGAGTTAATCGTTCAGCACCACGAGTCATCAGGTCCGACCTTAGCTCAGTTGGTAGAGCGGAGGACTGTAGTGGGCAAATCCATCAGATATCCTTAGGTCGCTGGTTCGAATCCGGCAGGTCGGAGTTTATTTTTCCCTTTTTTCGCTTCCAAGCTAAAAATGATTTATTCTCTCTTTTTTAATTAATCTTTTGATTCTTAAACTTTTAACTCGTTTTTAACTCAGTTTCTCAACTATTATTCAGCGTGACTCGGTTTTTAAACTTTTAACTCATTAAATTTTTCATATTTAATAATTCAATCCTTTTCATATATAAATTATGTTGAGTCATCAGTTTATTATTTGATGTGGCATAAAAAAAAGTTATTTTAACGTATTAAAAATTGCAATTAGAGCTTCCACCTTGGGAAAAAAAATTATCAACGTTCTTCTTCACACAAAAAAAAAAAAAGTGTGAACCAAATGGTGAACTCCACGCACTGATACTCTTATTCTAATGTCGCAGCAAGCAAGAGGGTGAACTCCGCGTTTTCTCTCAGAAAATCTGCAAATTAGAACAATAGATACAACAAGAATGGATGTAGAAAAACAAGTGAATAGAAGTTTGGTGGACTAAAGACAGAGATTATCAGAAATCACAGCAATTTTATGTCGTACTTGAGAGTCCATCTGAGGTATCCTTCTCTACCCTTGTCTCCAAATATCAATAGCGGGAGAGAGGAAAAAGTGTCCAGGTAGGGCTGCACATGGGTAGGGCTGGGCAGGGCAAACCCCTTGCCCGATGCCCAGCCCGAAAGACGAGCGGGCTGCGTTTTGCAGCCCGCTGCCCGGCCCTGCCCAGTAGAAGCCCTAACCATTTTGGACAGGGCAAGGACGGGTTGGGCAGGGCGGGCTTTTCTGCCCAGCGTAATGACACCATGCCTTATATCATATGTAGAAAAAAAATTCAATTATCGTGTTTTGAGATAAGTGAGAGGAAAAAAATTATCACGAATGAGTCTATCACTCATATATATATAAGGCCTATGTAGTCTTGTTCTTCAACTTTCAATTTCTTATGGGAGGTAAAAAAAAATATATTTAATAATTAGAACATTTAATAATCAAGCTAAATCAGTAGTTCAATTCCTTAGTTTATTCATATAGTTGGCAGATTTTTATAATCATGTGAAAGCACAAAATTTGAAAGGTGGTTTTATTTTTCTTTTTTTTTTGTTTTAAAAAATTGGATGTAAGAGAAAAAGAAAGAAATTTGACTTGGAGTAATTTAGCATATTGAATCTTATATTTTGATATTTAGCTCTTTTATATAATTATAATTTTATGTTCCTTTCATTTTTTCTAATTTTACCTAATTTTTTTGGCCAAAACAAAAGAGATAATTGCTTAAAATAATATTATCTTATATATAATTATATATTTTTTCGGGCAGGGCCAAATGGGCAGGGCAGCATACCCTGCCCGCAGCCCTGCCCTGCCCGTGAATCAGCCCAGCCCGAAGATGCCCATTTTTGCTTGGGCAGCTTTTTACTGGGCTGGGCTGGGCGCTTTTCTTGCGGGCTCGGGCGGGCTTATTGGGCATGCGGGCCTCATGCACACTCCTATGTCCAGGTGCTTTCAGTTCTGCAATTGATTCAACTTTAACGATACAATTCGATAGTGCTGATCTATGTTGGAATTAGATAGTGTTGTCACGGGGCTTGGGCTACGCACAGTGTAGCTGATACTCCCCCCCCCCAAAGGCGGAAGCTCTAATTGCAATTTTTAATACTTTTAAATAATATTTTTTGTCATTAATAAATTGATGACTCAACATAATTCATATATGAAAAGATTAAATTATTAAATATGAAAAGTTAAACAGGTTAAAAGTCCAATAACTGAAACGCGCATAATCATAATTGAAGGATTGAGTTACAAGTAAGTTAAAAGTTAGAAAAGAATAGTCTTAAATATAAGATCTAGTTAGAGAGTTAGTTTTAATAATAATATAACCTTTAATCTATATTATCTCTAACATTTATCAATTTTTAAACTAATCTATCTAATTTATAAATTGATAACATTAGGGCATCTGAAAAACCTGGTATTTTCACATTTTCAGTTTTGACAGAAAATCTGAAGAATAACCAGGAATAAAATATTGTCTAGTTTTTCTTTTGTTTTAGGGCGCTGCCCCCTCTCTTGGACCAAAAACAAAAGAAACAGCTGAGGACGAAGCTGAAAAGCGGAGCAGTGGAGGTCTCTGAATGAAGAAGATGGCTCGCAGCATCTCCTACATAACTGGTTCCCAGCTCCTCTCTCTCAGACGCCAGCCCAATATTGCCATTATCGATGTCAGGTTTTAATCACTCCCCTCTCTGCCCTGATCCCTCGATTCGCTCTTTCTTGCCATGTTTGTTATTTTGATTTGAGAGTTCAATTCAATTGGTATTTGTTGTTGATGGATTCCGAAATTGAAGGGACGACGAACGGAGTTATGATGGACACATAGCCGGGTCTCTTCATTTCGCAAGCGACTCTTTCTCGGAAAACATCTCGAATCTCGTTCAACAAGTCAAAGGCAAAGACACCCTTGTCTTCCACTGTGCTCTAAGTCAGGTTTGCTTCTCCTGTTATTCACATCTACCCTTCCAATTACGTACTTCTTGGCTCTGATTTTATTTTATTGTCGAATTTTCGGTTCCTTTTTCCGGTATTTTGTTCCATCAAATATTCTATAACACTCCCGGTGAAATTCCAGGCTCCTTGATTTCTCAATGAGCTGGGAAGACAGCAAGAAAATATCTCTAGCTAAGGCCTTATAAAATTTGAATAGTCACGTTGCTGTAGTGAAGCCGGTGTATATAAAGTGTACTTAATAGTGAGTCACAGCATATGCTGCTCTCTAACAGCCTTCTTATTACAATCAAGATTAATTAACTTGGGTTGTTGTACCACTAGTGTTATTAAGTTTGGATCAGCATCGGAAGTTCTAAAATGGGATTTTGAACAGGGCAATCCTATTTAAGAAGATATCTGAATCTGTTGTAGATTTAGCTGATGCAGATGGCATTCAAGATTCTGAATGATAAACAAGAATTCTATACTTGTCAGATAGATTTGGCAATCCTGCTCAAGCAGATATCTAATCTGTTGATGATTTAACTAACTCAGGAGAGGTTCAAGATGCCGCTAAGCTAATGCGCCTTAAACTAATGCAGTCAAATAAATGCTGCTCAAACTATATCTTTTTTAATAGAAACGCCCAGGGCAGCATATCGTATTCAAGTAACCAAATGAACAGGCTGCATCCTGCAGTTGATTCCCCCCCCCCCCCCAAAGCCATGACTTATTAGGCTTCACTTGGGCATGTTATTAAGCGTTGATCATATATTCTGAAAAGTTGGCATGGATGGTTCATTTGGAATATGAAACTTTGGTTTTACGGAGCATCAGGATCATGGCCACATTTGAAGTAGTCTTAATTCATTGAAGTCAGATGTAGTGGCCAGAGCAAAGCTGAGTTTCAGACTGACGGCATAATGAATGCCTGCAATTGTCTAGTGGGATGAGAGAGCTCGTCTTGAGAATGAAAAATGAGGATTCAAACTCTGTGATTTCTTTGTGGATGGGATATTGTCTTCCCACCCTTTTCCATTGACCTGGACAAAATGCAGCATAAATAATTTTTTACTCCACTACGTGATTGTTATGTATGTTTATTTTATCCATTCTTGATACCGCAGAAGTTTTAATCTTTCTGAGTGTCTTTCCAATATCTGTTCGTGTGATGCAAGATGGTTCTTTCTGACTTTGCCGGGGGCATAAATTCTAAATAAAACGCTTTTGTAGGTTCGCGGCCCAACATGTGCTCGAAGGTTAGCCAATTATCTTGAGGACTTTAAAGAAGATCCCGGAATAAAGAACATTATGGTCCTGGAGCGTGGCTTCAATGGCTGGGAAGCTTCTGGAAGGCCTGTCTGTCGCTGCAGTGATGTTCATTGCAAGGGTGAGGGTGCTTGATGGAAGCATGATATGATGGTCACGTTCACAAATGAATAATATGATCACATTGTCACTTTACTGTGAAAGACAGTACTATATGTTTGTGAGGTATTTATTCCTGGAGATGTCGTATTATGCATCTGAGGGAATGAATTAAAAAGCCATTTCCTTTGATATGTACTCGATTTGGGCTTAGGGGCCTTGACATTAAATGCTAGAAAATTCTGCTCTAGCGTAAAAGTTTTTGTATATTTTTGTTTCTTAAAATTACTGACTTCAGTCTAAAAGCCGAACACACAACGAACTGACCAGTGACCAATACACTTAATGATTATAAAAGCACCCCAACGGTCGGGTCAGATCCTTCTCCCTTGACGGTCTCCTGTTCCGAACCTTGTCAGTATGATGAACTCTCGTCTCGGAGCACCTGTCCAATTAAATTGTGATTTAAATCATCTTGAGTTCTGCACGCAGATATGTGCGCTCCCGCCGCCGCCGCCCTTCTTCTCTCCCTCTGTTGTGTGTGAAAAAAGAAGCTGAACGGTAAACTGGGCCAATGGGCCCATTTCTTGAAGCCCAGATATGGGTCCACTGACATGGCAACCTGCCGCATTCCGTTGTCCACCACAAAGCTGAAGAAAAGTTGATGCGTTGGCGGAGGCTGCCTTATTCATAAATCATAACTGAGAGAGATTTATTTCTTGTCAATTAAAAAAAAGAGAGAAATTTATTTCGTGGATTCGAATTTTTTAATATCTTGGTGCGATGTCAACCGACCAACGGCTCAATAATATCATTTAAATTATGTATTTTGACTTGATGGCTTGCTTAGCCGACAAGGAAAACTAAGATCACAGCACAATCTAGTGAAATTTCATATTGAGAACGCTCAATCTCTTCAATATTCATGCCCTTGATAATTCAAAACATTTTATATGTTGCTCGCATAATCGGGAAATGCTTATTTATTCATTTCCAAATCCTAACGTGGCCCTGTCACACCAGTTTACAGTAGCAAAGTAATTAAACAAAGTTTTGCTATTGTTCACGTGAACGAGTCGGTGAAGTTGGAGACTGACTTTGACTGAAACTTGATTGCTTCTTGTGGCCTTCCGCGTAGATGCAAGCGGATGGAATTTTGTATGCAGAAATCGAGTTTTTTAAAAGACGAAACGATTATCATGACAAATTTTATATAAAACAAAAAACAAAAAAAGCGAGAAGACGTTTGAAAGATGAAAATTAAATGGAGAAAAGTGGGAAACCACAGTTAGCAGTTCCTCAATGCTGCATTGAAATAGGTCTAATGATTGAAATTACTACTTAATTATACTCTCTCTCCCCCTTAATGGGAGTACAGTGGAAAAGCCATCCCCATTATTGAGCAATCCTTGTTTATCTTTTTTGTTAGCTGTGGCTTTTTTCCCCATTTGGAGCTGCTCAGAATTGTCTGTTTGCTGGCTTTGGGCCCCTCATACCTTGGGGTTTTCTGAGTTCGTTGTCACGCGTTGTCCTACTCCAACATGGTGGCACGGGATCGGCATGCCTATCGTGAAATTCGAAGGCAGCAATGTCAATTGTTAAATATTAATCATATCCCCCTCCTCCTCTTGGCCCATAAGTGTGGAGGTTAATGAAATATAAGCTTTAACCTCTTGTGTTCTTTTTGAGGTATTTTTTCCTATTCTAATTATACGACTGTATTTACAGTCTATTTCAAAAACAATATTCATCCGGTTTTTAATATAAGATTTATTTAACTAATTTGATTAAATTAAAAAATTTAGGTAAGTTAATTAATTATAAAAAATGTGATATGTTTTTTCTAAAGCACTATAATTATCTTTTTTAATATCCTCTTTCTCTTTTCTACTTGATTATGGTTGAATGAAATCCATACGGGTAATTTAGAAAATAATAATAATAAATCTGAGAAACATGTTTTATATTTAAGATCAAAATCAATTTAATTATTAGGTTTCATATTAAGAAGTGGATGAGTATTATTCATTTGTGCTCCAACTAAACTGTGTCCCCTGATCCTTGAGAGGAGGAAAATGAAATCAAGAAGCTAGTAGCAATGCGGGCGTTAATTAACGGCCACCGTAAGCCTTGTTGTGAGGGATAGCATTGGCATCTAATCAAATCTGCACAATGAATCTACGGAATCCTCATCCGAATCCACGCGTCCCCTGCCTATGGGTGGGGTCCCACTTTCATTATCTGTCTTACTTGTTCCCCCCAGTGGTTCCTCACTTCCTTCCTCTTTCCTCCTCTAACACAGCATCATCCTCTCGCTCTTAAAAAATTGAAGGGCCAGGCATGGATAGCGAAATCACCAGTGTATCAAATTCGTGATCTCGCTTTTATGAAAAGGGCTAGCACGTCATTACCATCATTCTCTCTTTCTTCTCATTTTCCTCCCAATTTTTCGCTTACAGATATATTCCTTCTTCACAGTACATTTGCGTGTTTAGGGAGCAGAACATATTTCACAAAATAAATCCAACACTCATGAATATTAATATTTGTTAGAAATTTGCACTGCATTTAAATATTTATATTATGTGAACATACACACGAATAGATTACATGCAGCAATAATAATCACGTTTATAAACACTAATATATATTTATAAGATATTAAATTTAGTATATCTTGCGGTATCTCCCGCCCCCACCACTCAATACTGTATTATGCTCCACCGTTTGTTAGCATCCTTGCTCGTTTGAGAATGGGGTCCCAGCTCCCACTCTAAAACTGATAACTATGATCTCATTAATTATGATTTAATAATTCATGTTGTATTATAATAAACAAATGTCATTATCTTCTTCGCATACAATAATGTGCATTATTTGCGCCAGTGACGGACTTGGACATCGAACAGTTCAGCGCGCCTCTTTTGTTATTTGCATCCCTCTTTGCTTTTTGTGTCTTGTTTGTCTCTGCTAATGCAAATTAATGCCATCATGCATATATAATGTGAGTGCTTTTTTTTTTTTGCACGTGTTTCTTTTTCAAAATACAATCATCGTCAAGTAATTAACGAGCTTGCAATATACTCTTCCGGTTCTAGATATAAAACTCTTATACACACTGGTATAAGGATTTTATATTAAGGACCGGAAGAGTAAAAAGCTCAAAATTAAAGCAACGAGGCACGAAGATTGTAATTATTCTAGTTTTTATCTTAAAAATAGTTATTACTTGTATTTTAAAATTGCTTAACCTCGAAATATTATCACATACAGAATTACAGACTTTAATCTTGACATAATTCAATGCTGTCATAATTAGGTGGCCAAAAAAAATCATCATAACTGGGCGAGTGATTAAGCAATGGCATTGCTTGTTATCAGATTACCACATTTTAGAAACACATCATAGCCGTATACATATATAGATGTTATGCAATACCAGGACATATTATTATTTAAAAAAAAATAGTGAACACGTTTTATCATATCTTTTTTTATTTTGCAATTATTTTATAAATGTTGCCCAGTGGTTAAAATTACAAATAAAAAAAACGTTAGTCAGGGTTGGTGGTAAGCAAATTTAGGTGGAAACAAAATTATAATTTTAAAAATATTTTTACGGTATACGAAATAAATATGTAAAAAAATTTATTTCGATTTATAAAAAAAATACTTTTAAAAAATACTTTTAATCCAATCCAAACATCCGCTTGAAAAAGTAAAAAGGGAAGATTTCTTGAATGACCCGTCAAAGAGGAAAGAATGTCACGTGTGAGGGAACGATCTTTTGGTGTATATACGTTCTGGCGGGGCAGGGCTTGTGGTTCCTAATGATCTGAATCACGAGCTGTTAGGTACTACTATTAGATAAATTTTCTTTTTTAGAGGGGCAGACACTTGATGCTTTTATGGTGGCTTTTTTTTTTTTTTTTTTTTTGAAAAAGATGCCACGTTGCAGATTTGCGTACCGGTATATTTCTTCAAAGTATTGCATAAAATATATGAATAATATTCTTTGTTCTTAATATAACAGTTAATTTAATATTTGATTTGATTTTAAATATCATATATCAATTCATTTTGTTTTTCATATTCATTTATTTTTTTAAGTAAACCTTGCAGTAGTCGAGCAATTTAAAAATATCATCAAATGGTAGTTTTAACTGTTATACATGATTAACAAGAATATTATAAAAAAGAAAACAAATATTTATTATAAATAATTAACCAAACTAATTTATTTAATCTTTCTAAATTAATCAACTAAGTCTTATATTAAGAATCAAAGTAATATATATATCAAATTTGTAATAAAATCACACCATTTATTTATTAAGTTACTGATAATATAATCCACCCTAGCCTCCATAAGGAGCAAAGCTTATTATCGTCACAATATTAAGACCATCTAGTCATATTATCCTGCTACGGGACGTATCTTTGGATCCTCGAGAAACGGGCGAGATGGTTCCAACTTCTCCGCAAACGAATTTTTGAAGTTTCTCCGAGGTTACGGGACCATCGAGTGGTTAAAAAGCTGTAAAGTGTGGCCCTTGGGTCCCTATAAATTGACCCGTCTTCCCTCTCTGCATTAATATTTTTTTTTTCTAATTACTAAAAAATGTCAATAGCAAGTTAGCAGCGTAAAAATATGTAACAGGTTTTAAGACAACAAATAACAAATTCTCACTTGTTATTAAAAAATTTTAGTAATTATTTTATTTTATTAAAATCTTATAGTAATTCTCTCTTATTTTTTTAATATTCTTCCACAACTCACGGAATATTACGTTCAGTTTCGCAAATTTTATCATTTCATATACATTGTACTTCTCTTATTTTTAATATAAGATCAATTTAACTAATTTGATTAGATGAAAAAATTAGGTAAGTTAGTTAATTATAAGAAATATGACATTTTTTTTTTCTAAAACATTATAATCATCTTTCTTAATATCCTCCCTCCTTCTTCTATTTCATTATGGTTGAGGGATTATCTATAGTGATAATTTAGAAAATATTAATAAATATAAAAAATAGATCTTATATTTATGACAAAAATTAACTTAATAAGTAGGTCATTTACTAAGGATTGGAGGGGTAATTTTTCATAATTCAAGAATCACAATGTAATCTGCTTCCCTAATAAAATTGTTTGATAAATAGGTTGACACGCGCTAACAACTTTTTTAAGTCTAAAGTGAATAAATGGACTCTAAATTTAAAAAAAGCCAAAAATATTATTAACAAAATCTGCTAGCATGGCAACTGATGCATAAAAAATTACCGGCTAAAGTATACATTTTGTCTTTTAACTTTATACAATGTTTCAATTTAGTCCCTTAACTTTAAAAAGTATAATTTTAATCCTTTAACCCTAAATTTTTTTTAAAAAAAATGATGACATTAACATCTTAAGTGTTAATAAAATATTCTCAAATGCTAATATATTAAGTTTAATTTTCAAAAAATCTATTATTGTTACAAAAAACTATCATTGAAGCCTAATAATTTTAGGGTTAAAAGATCAAATGTATACTTTTTAAAGTTAAAGGACCAAATTAAAACTTTGTACAAAGTTAAAGGGCCAGATGTATACTTTAGCCAAAATTACCTGATCTATCATTATTTTAAAAGAAATTATTTATTCTATTCAAATTTCTCATAGTCATTGCCATTTGCAGTTGCTTTTTTTTTTTTTTTTTAACCAGCCATTTCCAGCTGTTACCGAACAAGAGCGAGCAACCGCCAACCAGACGGGAAGTAATCCTCTAATTGCTTTTCTTGGCCCTTCATTGGTTAAAAGTCGTTGTAATATTTTGAAACTATAATTATAATTTAGTAAATACTACTTTTCTGATTTTATTTATAAATTACTTTCAACGTATCCCATATAAATAAAAAAAACCTTAAACAAACCTCATTAACTCTTATTGAGAGTTCAACAACTTTTCATTCTATCGTTGTTTAATATACATTATGCTTAATATAAATAAAATTAACACAATAAAAATTAAAAGATAAAATTAAACATTCATATAAAAAATTTTCTTATTGTCCTATTTACCAAAATTTTTCCCCCTCTACTCTATAAGCAGAACCACACAAGTACATCTTAATGGATTAAGAATACATTTTTTAATTGGGGAAAACATAATACTATCTCTAGTCTTAAATAAAGAGCTAGTTGACTAATTTGAAGAAATTAAAGAAACAACTTAAATTAGTTATTTATAATAAATAGACGTTATTTTTTCTAAAATATCCTTGTTAATCAAATATGTTAGCTAGAACTACTATTATTAAAAAGATTAACTTAAAAAAAAAACAAATATAAGAGACAAAATAGATTAGGATCAAAGTAAAAGTTAAACAAGATCTTATATTAAAGATCAGAAGTAGTAGTTTGAAAGGACAAACACTTGAGGGGGTGTTTGGGTAATATCAAAACTATGGTTTCAGAAGTGCTTTTACGGTGTACGAAGTAAATATATAGAAGATTTTACCTTGATCTGCAGAAAAGTGTTTTTTAAAGTGATTATTGGGGTATCTAAACACTTCTGGATTCTTGTTAGAAATAGCCGAAAATAAAAAATTATTGAATCTTATGAGAATCTTTCTATAAGTTTTGCAAATTGTGACTTAAGATGTAATTTTCCATCCTTCTCGAGATACTACGGCGCGCTCGATATTCTCAAGGCTCATAAGTTAGATGAAAAAGAGGTGGGAAATGGGAAAAGGATTCAGCAACTACTACTACCCCAAAGCATTGCATTGTGCAGCAAGGCAAAGTAAGAAAACTGTGGCGTTCTATTCCTTGTTTCCTGGGGTCATCTCATCTCTTTCGGCTTCTCTGTAACTGTAACCTAACACTACCACAGTTAAAACTTTGCTCAAAAGCGAAGAATAATAGTGAATCCTGCTGCTTAGCCTCAAATATTGGATTGCGTTGAATAACAACCACATCAACAATCGTGGGAAGAAGAAGAAGGGTTAGAAGTAGAACAACATTATGGGCATACTGTACGACGACGTTGTAATAATCCGGCCGCCGGAGAAGGAAGGTGATCCAAGCGTGATTACTGTTAATTGTCCTGATAAGACGGGTCTGGGATGTGATTTGTGTCGCATCATACTCTGCTTCGGTTTGAGCATTGTCAAAGGAGGTAACTCAACGTTCATGTAATCATCCATTTGGCTCAGAAATGATAGATGGGGTTGGGATTTCTGATAATCCGCTTTTTTTCTTTCCCTTTGTTGATGTTGCTGTATCTGTGAATTTGATTGAGGGGTGTGTTTGTTGCTTTGTCTTTAGCAAGAGATTCTCTCCTATATTACTGATTCAATCTGCCAAGTTCCTGATGGGCCTCACTTTCTATCCTTGATTACCCGATTTAAAATTGTCAAATTTGGGACTGATTTTAATCTTTGGTTGTCTTATTTTCCCGCATTCAAGACGTATCAACAGATGGAAAATGGTGTTACGTGGTTTTCTGGGTGATTGGGAAACCCAAGACGAGGTGGAGCTTGTTAAAGAAGAGGCTAATTGAGGTGTGCCCGTCTTGTTCTTCTGCGTCTGGAATCTCTTATTACCGCTCTGACTTGCAGCTTCCCAGGCCTCCTGATGTGTTCCTTTTGAAGTTTTGTTGCCATGATCGTAAAGGCCTTTTACATGGTAAGTCTTGGTCTTTATTTATATGTTTAAAATTTGATGGTAGAGTCTTGACAATTTTTAGCCGGCCCAAGGCTTCTTCAGTCTGCTAAACTGTTTCCAGCTTTTCCCCCCATTAAAATCAATTTTCATGATGTTGGCGTTAAATTCGCGTGTTATTTTCCATCATCTCTCATCCATTTGTTCTGCTTTTCTAGAATTCTTTCAGAAAAGCTGGAAATGGGTCGTAGAGATCTGTTAGATTGAAATGAAAATCATCCCCCCCCCCAACCGGCCAAAAAAAAGAAGAAGAAGAACAGGCGATCTTACCACAGCAGTTTGATGCCTTTATCAGGATTCATTCTGGTTTTTAAGGCTATGTTTTATGCTACCCGCAAGCTTATGCTCCTCTTAATTGTAGCGACTCCTACTGTAGATTTCTCAATGAGAAGATATTTGCTTTTTCATCAGACCACGCCAATTAGGGTTGTTCTTTGGAATTTATTATACAGGACAAAATAATGAAATGTCTTAATGATGTCCACAGATGTCACTGAGGTTCTTTGTGAGCAAGAGCTTATCATCAAGAAAGTGAAGGTGTCTACAACACCTGATGGAAAAGTGATGGATCTGTTTTTCATCACTGACGCCAGGTTGTGCATTCTCTATATATCTTTTGAAACAATCTCATTCTGCGAATCGTAAGCCTTCCAAAGATTTTTAAATAGTTATTAGTGAATGGTGAAATATGTTTTCTGAATGAAAATGGTCACTGTTGTTGTTTTTTCCCCCAAGTTCTCAAAATGTCTATATATGTAAATTTCCATCTCCTCTTGGCTTACTGTTTTATTCTTTGTTTGATGATGTAACTATAATATCAGGGAGCTTCTACATACAAAGAAGAGGAGGGATGACACTATGGAACACCTGACAGCTATATTAGGGGATGCCATAATCACTATTGATATTGAATTAGTTGGCCCAGAAATTACTGCATGTTCCCAAGCATCTTCTTTCCTTCCAACTGCAATCACGGAAGACGCCTTTGATTTGGAATTGTCTGATTCAGTTCGGAGTGGAATTCTCTCTTCAGATAAGGTTTCTATTACAATGGATAATTTGCTGAGTCCAGCTCATACGCTTGTCCAAATTATGTGTCAAGACCACAAAGGTCTTCTTTATGACATCATGAGAACTCTGAAGGACTACAATATTCAGGTATTGTGAATTGAAATTTGAATAGGCTGCGTGCATTGGATAATGGCATATGGCCTCACTGTAAAATTTGTTAATCAACCAGATTTCTTATGGGCGCTTCTCTAAAAAACCTAGAGGAAAATGTGAGATTGACTTGTTCATCATGCAAGCAGATGGGAAAAAGATTGTTGATCAAAGTAAACAGAACTCATTGGCATCTCGCCTCAGGATGGAATTACTTCGTCCTCTCAGAGTAGCTGCCGTGAGCAAGGGCCCTGATACTGAGCTTCTCGTGGCAAACCCTGTGGAGTTATCAGGCAAAGGACGACCCCTTGTTTTTTACGATATCACTCTTGCTCTCAAAATGCTAGACACTTGCATCTTTCTGGTAATTACTTATCTATCTCTACGCTTTCTGCTGCTTAGTTTCTTACATTTCTCCAATTGTTAAGTGAATTCATTTCCCCCAAGGCTGCTGCCGCTAAACTTGGGGGATTTCTTCCATTCTCTCTGAAAGACAGGGTTGAAAAATAAAAATGGCCAGAGATGTAGCTGGAAAAGTAAAAGTTACACGTTGTTCAAGATTGTTGTTTTGAACAGACCGCGTGCTAATACTGTGGGTGATTGTTGAAAACAGGCTGAAATTAGAAGGCACATGATTGGGGACAGAGAGTGGGAAGTGTATAGAATCTTGGTGGATGAGGGGGAGGGAATGCGTGTTGCAAGGAGCGACATTGAGGAAGGAGTTTGGAGAATGTTGATGGGCTGGGACTGACATGATTCCTGGTGGTGGCTGGGTGGCTGACTATGGAGCCTATTGGATAGCCCTATGCCTCTCTGTACAGTGTAACTTTGTCTGGTCTTTAGATGTAATTGTGAGATGTATGCTATGAAAACGGTTGTGTTGGCCAATGTTGTACTTTAGAGCTGGAGTAATCCTAACTCGGTGTATATAGAAAGAGAAGGCGTCGACGAGGAGTTGATGCATATGGAAGGAGAGTGAGAACATTTGCACGAGCGAGTAGATGAAGATGAAATATTGTACAAGTCATAATCATATTTGATATTTCCATGGCATGCCCTCTATGAAGATAAGAGCTTCATGGAAAAACTGGGGATTCCGATATCCCCAGCCTGTATGTTCTGCATGGGTTGTTGGTGGTTTTATGTAGAATTTAACTGGATAGATGTCTTGTTCCCTACACGGACAGCAAGGAGTGCAGGAGTAGCTTTCAGAAACAACTTCATTTCTATCCTTAATGCCATGGATTGTGATTACTTGTCCTAACGTCAATCATTATATATATGGTGAAAATTGACAGGGACGGCAGGTATTTTTTTAATATGTCAAAATTGGTGGTTCCATTAAAATATAAACGCCAGCAGGACTCTTACTGTGGTATTTTGGAGTTTTATATTGCTTGATGTGGCTTCCTTGCCAATTATGATTGTTCTCTGCTCACCCAAAGATTCTTATCATTTTATCGATACTTTTAAGATTCCTTGTCCACACTCCCTTCCTGTCGGCATCTTACATAGAACCCCATGGATTCCTCTTACTTGGACAAATCCATTACTATCATATTTATTACTCACTCAAGAACTTGCTTGACGTCCGAGAAGCCTCAGAACCCATTTTCCCCGCCCTCCCATATTGAATTTAATCTGTCAGACTGGTCACTGCATGCTTTATTGTAGGGGTTGAACTGATAAGAGATTAAAGATCGGTAAATTAGGCCACGTGGAGTTTGATCAAAACGTTTGTTCAACCCTTTACTTGTGTACAATATATATTGAGAAAAAGAAATTAATACCGAGAAATGCAGTTGCATGCAGAGCCTACTTTTACTCCATAAAATTTTCTTCTTTTACTCTTTTCTAAAATATAACAACTATAATTATTTTGCCACGAGAATTCGGGTTGAATTTTAACTCAAAGATACCATCTAGTGAGAAGAAAAGTCAATTCTATACCCCTACAACGGGAGCGTATTCAGTGGGATTCCTTCTACGCCAATATTCTGGGATCCACGCTCACAGTTCTAACACAGTAACAACGCTTTTTTCTTCCCAAAAGAAGAACACTGAAAATTACGGAAAGGACTATGGAAATAAAGAACAATGGGACCGTTGTGCATAGACCACCAAAAACAAAAATAATGAGAGAGTTGAATAAACGGACAAGAATCACCGATTCTTCATTTATAGTTTCCAGTATATTCCCAACTTGTGCAATATTCCAGAGACCACAGCCCAGAAACCAATCTCAGCAAATATAACATATAAAAGAGTCCCCACTTTTTCTGAGTTCCAAACATTCACAAACACGTGCTTATGGATCCAGTGTACCTGATTCATTCAAAAATTATCATTGATACAGAACATGATCAAAATAGATCATGGATGATAAAATGGATCTTTCTTCTTACCAGTGAGTTCGGTGGATCTTCGTAGTACCATCCATTGACAAATGCTGCAAGGATGCCTTGTGCCCCCAACACAAACACCAGCATTGCGTTCATTCCTATCCACTCCAAGAACAAGAATGGAGTCCGAAGCCCCCACACATCGATCTGTTTACATAAATATGTTCAAGAAGAAAGGCAAGCAGGAGGAAAATAAAACAACCAAGCATAAAGGAAAAAAATTGTAGTCGAATTACAATATATGATTTACCAGCACGTAAAACCCAGAAAACACAATACCAGCAGCCCCTGCTGTGAAACAAACGTAGCTGAAGCTGTAGAGTTGCTTGTTAAGTGGAATGGCTGCATTTCAGGGAACTCAATGGTTAAACTCCATCATTTTCTCACAGATAGAGAAATTGACAAATATATTTAATTCATTTTCGAAGAGATGCGTCTTTCTAAACTTACCGTCTGTAAAATGGAGAATGATGGCTACAATGAGTAATGCAAACCCCATTGAGACCCACTGCTTGAGCCTCTCGGAGTGACCCTGCACAAAAATTTTGGGACCTTTAACTCCCAAATGACTTGGCAGTTATAGGTAATGAGGATGAATTAACTAACCTTGAAGTGAATCAAGACATGCCCATAATGCACGCCGATGGTCCCGGTCATGATAGCAGATACAGAGCTAGTTCACAGAAAAGTAACACAATAAAGTCCATCCTTTGGAAGCTTCAAAATTAACAGTTCTTCATATATACATGTAACTCGTCAAAAAGAAGAAACCTTAACAAGCCTTCCGGTTCAAAGGGAGCACGGCACCAAGTTGGAGCATCATCGCGCAGAGGACCTTCATCTGGGGAACTGAATGTGCACACCTGCAATACGGCGTAGTAGGGAAAAATAATAAAAACGAGACTAAAAATTGACTTAAGGGGGTTAGCAAACGAGAATTTTCATATTTTACATAAAAAAAAAAAATTTAAAGCAGATATAATTGAAGAAGTGACCTTGAGACGTCTCCAAACAGGATAGGAATACAGATGGTTAACTCCCCAAACTTGTCGGTCCACATATCCAACGGCGTTACATGCAGGTTCTAGGTCTCCTCTGACTCCGCAAATGACCTATTCGGGGAAAGAGAAAGCAAAAAAAGAAAAAGGTAAAAAGAAAGAAAGAGTGTTGCAGTGTGATGCGTGTATATGACTAATGGAAAATGAGGAAGCAGAGAGAGTATATACAGTGTATCTCTTATGTTCATCTTCATTACGATCCACAAAGCTCCAATCTGGCACGTAGAGTGTATACGCTGTGATCATGTATATGAGGAGCGCCACAAAGCTCCCTAACCTATCATAAGGTCACGAATCGACATCATTCAGTAACTATTTTAATAAGAATAGGATGACAAAGAATTTGGTGTCTTTCTCACGTTCTTAGTTCTTACCATTGCCATTTATATGCTTTGAAAATGGAGAGGAGCCCAGGGCTTAAGGAAGTTGGTCTGTGCTTGGCGGTGAATGTTTCTATCAGAGCAATCACGCAGTAAACAAGAGCTATTCTCTGGGCATCCACAAAGACCAAGTGGTTTCCCAAAATTAAGGAATGAGTTGTAGAATATAGACTGTAAGACGACTTCGAATTAGAGCCTCATATATCTCCACAAGTTCAAATTACCTGGAGAATGCCACACCATCTGATTAGCTTCATGTTAACTCCATAGGAGAGGGCATCAGGAGCATGAGAGTAGCCACCTACACCATGTTATATCATCAGAGCCTCTACATTCCTTGTTACACAACTCACTTTCTATGATCGATACAAAACTATTGGACAGAGATATTTGGTTTGGATATTGGTATTACCTTGCAGAAGAATACCCCAGAATATGAGCTTCAATGTCCTGACAATTATCTTCTTCACTGCATCCTTCGTCTTGGGGACTCTCTGCTTTGTTATAACACCATCGACAATGAAAAGATAAACTTTCGAAAAGACATGACTCTGATAAATAAATTAAAACAGAGTGTAGATACCTTAAAAGCGAGGGCAATGGCAACCCCAACAATGAAAAGAAAGAAAGGCATAACAAAATCGGCCAAAGTACATCCATTCCATGGGGAGTGATCTATGCGTGGGTAAGCTACTCCAGCATCGTCTACCAGGATCATCAACTATAATAATTAACATCCCCAAGACACAGCAAAATTAACTTGACAGTTCAAATTCAAATTTTACCACTCTGTATATAGACACGATTCATTAAAGTACTAATGATGAAATGGAGAAGCATACAGACCACTATGGTGAGGCCCCTGAAGGAATCTAAGGTTGCAATCCTTTTAGTCTTCTGCTTCACCTGGGGCTTTTCCTGCTGCTCCGCGTTTTGTTCAACGCCTGTTGTCATAACTTTTACCTCTTTGTCATGCTCATGGTCCTTTTCTTCCAAATCCATATCATTTGGTTTCTTTCTTTCCTTCTCATGATCATCATTCCCCGCAGCTGTATATCCGTGTCCCTCTTCCATTCTCTTTGCTTCACCTTCATCCATGCCTCACTGTTCTCAAACTCCAAGACGTGACTTGTTTTCCAATCTCTTGGTGGAACCAAAAGCGTAGAAAAGGAAGGAGCAATGACGAGCGACAAGTACAAGGACGGGTGTAATTGTATTGACGACCTTGGATTAAATAGGTGGGACGTATTTTATACAGAGATTATAGGATGGGGTCGTACAGGCTTGTGTTTTTCATAGAGGTTGTTGTGCTTTGTTGTTTTTATGATATTTGCATTGCCAATATACTTCTTCTGTAGCTTATTATAAGATCATTTGTCCCTTTTTATAAGTTTCTTTTTGAGTTTTTCTAAATATTTAATGTATTATTACCTATTTTACCTATAATTTAATACATTCTCTTTCTTCATTTATCTCACTATTACTTTATCACATTTACCCATTTATATATAGGAATATATTTGGAAAAAAATTTGTATTTATTACATATTAATTGCTTTTAATTAATTTTAACTATTTTCTTAAATCACGTAATTTAGTTAAAAAGATTTTATAATAAGAGACGCAGTAGTAGTATTTGGTGGTTATGTGTTACCGCATTAATATCTGAAGTGTATTATTTGATAATGTCCAGAGACAAAAAACAACGAACATATTTGGATATATAAGTTCAGATAGAGACGAACAAAAATGGTGGGTGTGGCCGCCTGCAACATTTTTATTAGTGAAATTCAAAGTCGGCTACACACATATTTCGCCTTGTCGCATAGTGGGAGTGAACGATTCATTCATGAATTGACCATGACGCCTAAACTTATCACGCCACACTTAAGCAGCCGGCCGTGAACCTCTCAAAACTAGTTTATAAGGCACCCCAAGCACTACAGCCTGTTTGGTTAAGCGGTAGGATATCAAATAAGCCTGTTTAAATTCAAGTAAGTGTTTATGAAGCATGTTTGGAGTGTTTGGATAATTTTTATAAAATTCTCATAAATTGTGATTTTAATCTTTTACCGCACTTTTAGGATAAGCAACAAGAAGTAGTTTATGTATTTGAAAAATCCCGATGAATCTTCAGCAACTAAATTTTCTCTAATCTACCCCTCATTCTAATGGTAATTATTTTTTTTAAATTCAGTCATTATGAAAATGAAAGTATCCTCGAAGGAAATTATGATGATCATGTTGTTTCATATCCATGACCAAGTGCCAACATAGTTTCCTCAAATGGATCGTCTTCGAGAGTCAATTTGAGATCAAATTTTGAGAAAATAATTAGCTATCATTTTTATTAATTAGTTTTGTTGTTTAAATTTTATTTCTTAGTTATAATTTTGATTGAACATTCAATTTCCTTATTTATGTTACTAAAATTGCTAATCAAATTTTTTTTAAAATTTTCATTAATATCTTATTTATATGGGGGTCTTTTATTTAATATTTGTACTACACATAAATTTTGTAAGTGATTTTAAATAATAATAATAATTTTAAAATAAAAATAATATTTAAATATTCACGTCATTTATTAAATTATATTTAATAAAATTTATTATTAAATATAATAATTATGAAAATGCAAACAATTTTATTAACTTCATGTCTTTTTTAGTAATTATACACCTATAAGTGATTTTAATAAATGAAAACCAAATATAATCATAATTCTTAAAATTACTTATTTAAAAAAAATTTCAAACAGAAATTACGATTAACCAGTATCACTTATAAAATTTACGATTATTTAAAATCACAGTTGTTCACCGCTAATCGAAGCGGACACATAGTATTTAAATCGTTATAAGCTGAAGCAAACGGCAGCATTGGGTGTCCTAGAAAATTGGAGCTCATAGATTCCTGGGATATATGCAAGAGACGTACGTGGATGAGTTTTCCCGGCCGCAAAAGCGGGGGAAAAGTATGGGAATCTGCTCGATCATATTTATCCAGCGTATGGTAAATTAGTTCAAAGGCCTGTCATGTATCCATCGCTGTCATTCACAGCACAAATTCAACATAGGAAAGCATAAAATAACCAGACACAAGTCGGGGACTGATCTCATCATAATATCACGATAAGTAACAATAACACGTAGCCCCAATGCACGATGGTAACTGCTCCGATAAGAAAAAAGAAATAAATAAATAAAATGAAAGGGGTCCCCACTATCCTTCCTAGCTCATGTTATTCACTTATGCGGACCTCACCCTGCATCCTCTCACGGCCCCATATTCCTTCGTTTGCCTACCTCCGTCTTCATCCTCCTCCCTTGTCATCTCCGTCAACATCCTTCAGCGGCCACTCTGCTTCACCAGAGAAGCTTCTCCGCCAACGTTACTGATTAAGCAGAGTTCACCCCTTGTCATCTCCGACGAACCCGGCTGATCCAGTCAAATCTCGAGTCCGGCAATCTTTTTCCTCATTCCGATCTTCATCAGCTCGTCGGCGTCTCGGACTTTGGTGTCGTACACCGAGTGGTAGGACTCCAGCGAGGGGAATTTCTCTCGTAATTGGCTGATCCACGAACCACGATCTATCTTGCTCCCGGAACACCGTCTGACCGCCGTGGTTGAGCGAGTTCCACATCAAGCTGTCGTGGCCGAGGCCAAAGACGAGGACGTTGCAGGGCGATTTTTTCTGAAGAACTCGAGCTGACACTGGAATTTCCCTGGTCAAACTCCCTCAAACCATTCTTTTACTGCCAAGTCTCCCCCGTTGGTTCATAGTGCATATCCGCCCCCTTTACAAGGTTTGAATCTGGTGCTTTAATTTTTAAAAAATATATTTTTAGTCTTGTTTTTATACAACACAGTTTAATTTAGTACTTTAGTTTTTAAAAATTATATTTTTAATCTTTTAATTCTAATATTGTTAAATTTAAATAATAATTTATGGTAATTATTTTAAAAATTAAGCTTAATAGATTAGTATTTAAAAATATTTTATTACTCATCATTTTTTAGTTACAATTTTAAAATTTAAATAACTGAAAATATATTTTTTTAGAATTGAGAAATCAAATCAAAACACTGTATAAAAATTAAATATATATCTTACCCTAATTAAAATATTTGCCTCTTTACTTGCCTGGTTTGTTTTACTCCACCCACCCCTCAACAAAGAATTGCACCTCAACCATTCAACAGCACGTCAGCGCGGACGATGGACATACGGTTATAGCTTCTTGTTGGATTTCTCGTCTATCATTTAAACCGGATCCCAACAGGTAAGGTTATACATAAAAGATGATCCCCTTGGTTCCTCTATCAGTGTCGTATTCTGATATAATTTTCCTCTTAGCACCTGTGATTCTTACTCCGTTTGGATCCTCCTGCTTTCTCATTTGTCTATACAACCTCGTTCCAAACAACAAGCTCCACAACATCAGAGCAACAATGGTAGCCACAGAGGCCAGTACCAGTGGTAGTGGCTCCCCAGAACTGAGAAACATCAGCCACCAAGTGATCACCGGCCGCTGGTTCATGGTCTTCGCCTCTCTGCTAATCATGGCCGTCTCTGGCGCTACGTATATGTTCGGTTCATACTCAAACGACATCAAGACCTCGTTAAGCTACGACCAGACCACTCTCAACTTGCTCAGTTTCTTCAAAGACTTGGGTGCCAATGTGGGCGTCTTGCCCGGACTCATTAACGAGATCACTCCTCCTTGGGTGGTCCTTTCCATTGGAGCCGTCATGAATTTCTTCGGCTACTTCATGATCTGGCTCGCCGTCACCGGTCGTATCGCTAAGCCCCAAGTCTGGCAAATGTGTCTCTACATCTGCATTGGCGCTAATTCCCAGACTTTTTCCAATACCGGTGCTTTAGTCACGTGCGTTAAGAACTTCCCCGGAAGCCGTGGCAGCGTTTGGGGCTTCTTAAGGGTTACGTTGGGCTCAGTGGCGCCATTATAACTCAGCTTTACCATGCCGTCTATGTTGACGACTCCAAATCTCTCATATTGTTCATTGCTTGGATTCCTGCCGCTGTCTCCATCTTTTTCCTCCCAACAATTCGGATATTGAACAACACTCGACAGCCTAATGAGCTCAGAGTTTTTTATAATCTTCTTTATATCTCACTCGGCCTTGCAGGGTTCCTTATGGGATTGATCATCGTACAGAACCAGCTGAGCTTTACGAGGATTGACTATGTGTCTGATGGCATCGTGGTTCTGTCCTTACTTTTTCTCCCACTGGCCGTAGTTTTCAGAGAAGAACTGCACCTCTGGAGAGCCAAAAAACAAGGCTTGATCGGTACTTCTGAAGTGGCAGTCGTCGCTGAAGCTCCGCCTCCAATGACGGAATCAACTCAGCCACAGCTAGAATCTTCCACCAATACCACAAAGCCAGAGAAGGAAAGCTCTTGTCTGGACAACGTTTTTAAACCACCCAACAGGGGAGAGGACTATACCATATTGCAAGCTCTGTTCAGCATTGACATGCTAGTTCTGTTCACGGCAGCAACCTTCAGTATCGGTGGAAGTTTGACTGCTATTGACAACTTGGGACAAATTGCAAAATCCTTGGGATACCCGAGCAAGAGTACCTCCACCTTTGTGTCCTTGGTGAGCATATGGAACTATCTGGGACGAGTAGTCGCTGGTTTCGTCTCCGAAATCTTCTTGACCAAATACAAATTCCCTCGTCCTTTGATGCTCTCTCTAATTATACTACTGTCATGTGTGGGGCATCTTCTAATTGCCTTTGGCGTCCCCAATTCTCTCTACTTTTCTTCCGTGATTGCCGGGTTTTGCTTCGGAGCACAATGGCCGTTGATATTCGCCATCATATCTGAGATATTCGGCCTCAAGTATTACTCCACTCTGCTCAATATGGGGGCAATGGCCAGCCCTCTGGGAGCTTACATACTGAACGTGAAGGTGACAGGTTATTTTTACGACAAGGAGGCGTTGAAACAGTTGCAGGCAAAGGGACCTAAAATGGAAGCAGGGG